CCCTCCACACTTATGTTGACCTTCATTCTTTATATGACTCTAATAGCCATCACATGATTTGTTGGTGTTCACGATATTTTGGATTAGTGTTGAATTTTATAGTTGTTTCCCTGTCTTTCCATTAAACTTAGAGACTAATAAAGTCATGATTTAAGCCAAACTGCATTTATAATCATGTTAGGCGGTATGAACCTTTTTCGGAACAAGTTCCTTCTTCTCTTCCTCATGTTAGGTGAGTTGGGCTGCCTCTGTTTGCTCAGTACTGCCACTAATCTCCACATCTACCATGACCACCACGAGTGAAGCTGTTTCTTCTTCGTCAAAACTATGCCAAACAGTCTGCTGGACACGCTGGTGATTATAGGGGGCACACCCAAACCTGGCCAATCAAACGAGTGAACGAACTCCACACAACACGCTGGTGAATATATGGAAACGCACCCAAACGGATGCGCTTTGGCTTCCCTGTTTGAGTCAGCGTGTAGTTGTCTGCGTTCGCAGAGAGATGCAGCAGACATCTGCTCTCTCTCTCCGGTATAAACGGAAAAACAAAATTTCTACCGGTAGACACTTTTATAACTTCATACTGCCCAACACTAATTTATAAAGAATTATTTTAAAAGAGATTTCAGGGAATTCTGATACGAGCGTTTGAGAAAGTTCTCAAAATGTTTCCCAAAAGCTTGTTCATACATGATGTTCAGAAAAAAAAAGAGCTAGTAAAAGAAAATCCTTGCATCTCTGAAACCTCAAATCTATCACAGAAGTCTGCTGTGAGTCTGGATCTTCTTATTTCTGCAGAATATTCAAACATTACAGCCCCACTGGAGATATATCTGACACACACACATACACATGCACACACACACACACGTCTCCAATAACTTCCCTTCCCCTGGCAGCGTGCTGTGGGAGCTGGTCAGCGGCGTCAGTCAATTGATTGAGCGCAGAGGAGGAGGAGAAGAAGGAGGAAGGAGCCGCAGGCCACGAGCTGCAGAGGAGGTGAAGACCTATCGGAAATCAGTGCACCATGAGCATTTCTGCCCCATATGGGCAAAACACGTGCTCAGACAGCTGCCACAGTGCTCTGTAGCCGGCCCCACATCACACTGAGAGAGAGGATGTTAACTGTGCAGTGTCCACTAACAGGAGGCCGGCTCTGTGCACTTCTCAACGAGAACGCAAGAGGCTCTAGGTCCATTTGCTTAGAGAAATAAAGAAGGAATGTTTAGGAGCATGATCCAGTTTAGCATTAAAGTGTTTTTGCAAGTTTCACCTCTATAGAAATTCAGAAATTTAGATCTTGCATGTGTTTAGATTTTATACCATTTGCAGCATGTTTTATCTGATGAAGACTCTTCCGGCCGTTACAGACCATCAGAGAGTAAGTTATGAGGCAAAAAAGAGATATTCTACCAGCTAGGGCTGTCCCGATACGATATTAGTATCGGACATCAGTCTGATATCAGCCAAAAAACAAGTATCTGATTATATCGGCCTGCATTTAAAATCTCTTATATCAGCACTCTGATACAAGCAGTCCATTCCAGGCTCCACTCCGGCACCTCTAGCTAGCAGCGTTCGGATCTAGCATGCAGAGCCTACAACAACAGTGTGTACTAAGGTACAGACAAAGTAGCAAGGGGTAGGATTGATATCAGCTGTGTGGCAGTATTTCTCGTTAAAGTCCGAAAAAGACATTGCAGCTGAGTGCAAAACCTGTCATGCACAAGTTTGTGCCAATATCGATCAATATCGATATCGGTCAATACTGAAGATTACAATATCAGTATTGTATCTCAAGTAAAAAAGTTGACACCCCCAATAACAAGAAACCCAAGTTTAATGGGAGTGACTTGACATCTGTTTAAACCCAGTTGTGTGAAAAAATATATTAAAATCCATCTACTTACAATACATCCATGATTCAGAGTAATGAAAACACTGTTTTGTTACAGTTAAAATATATTCAGTTCTATGTCCTCAGCCCACCTCTCCGCTTGTGAACTCTGACTTACATTCTCACCTCTGTGCAATTTTGAGAACCTGCTTGATCAATATTAATATAGATCCAGAATGAAGACTGGTGTCAACTAATGAGTGTCTGTGGATGTGTTTAAGTCTGACACACTTGGTGTACAAAAAATGTGGGTGCCTAGGCTAAAACCAAGGAGACCGCTAGAGGTCACTGGCCAGGAGGAATCACATGATTATTTAAGTATTTATTGATCAGCATAAACATGGAAAGTTTAACATTTACTTCAAGAGGTGGAAAGGTGAGTGCTGAATCCCGGGACGCCTCGTCCACATGAACCAGTTATTTTGTTGGCAAACTGTCCCAAGTTCTACATTTCATATGCTGTTTAACAGTTGCTACAAGAGTTTAACACAAATGTTCATTCACCTCTCCATATACCGATTAATGGTTACATATACAGTGCATCTGGAAAATCTTTTTAGAGCTACAATTTTTTCACATTTTCTTGTGTTACAGACTTATTCCGAAATGGATTACATTCATTTCTTTCCCTCAAAATGACAAAGTGAAAAAAGTGTTTTTTGAAAATTTTGCAAATCTGTTTAAGACTATGTTTACACATGCCTGGCTATCTTCATGAACAGACATTTAATCCCCTCCATTTACAAAAAAAAAAAAAATTTAAACTGCGTGAACACCACCACATTATCAGCAAAGTTCTCGTTTACACTCACCCTTGTAAATGCCGTCAAGAGCATTTTAAACGTGGGTGGCAGTGTAACGAGAAGCTCAAGCCCACGTTAGCCAATCAGAATCCCGCATAGCAGCAACAACAACTACAACAACAATCCTTCCTTCTTTCCTGTGCACAATCTGCCGTTGTCTACTCAGATCTCAGTTTTCTCTTCCGTTTTTCTCTGTTTACATGCAAACGTGCAAAGGGTGTTTTCTGAAATCTCCACTCTGGCCGGAGTTTTTAAAAAGCATCGTTTCAGGGGCGAATTCTCCGTTTGCGTCTAAACGAAGGGTGCAAATGATGGTTAATGTCTCCATTTTTAAAAATAACCGGGTACGTATAAATGGGGTCTCAGATGTTTCCACAACTTGATTGGAGCCACCTGTGGTAAATTTAGTTGATTGGACATGATTTTGAAAGGCACACACCTGTCTATATAAGGTCTGATGATAGCTGACAGTGCATGTCAGAACACAAATCAAGTGTGTCTGGGATTGTGCGGCAACTTTACATCATGAGCCTGAAGATGGGGAGGGTGCCACAGCTGTGGAAGACCTTCTGCATGGTTCCAGGGCCAAAGATCCCTCATCCAAAGGACTTCAACCGCTACAGGCCGGTGGCACTGACAACACACCAGATGAAGACCCTGCCTGGAGAGGTCGGTCTTGTTCCATCTGCGCCTCCGAGTGAGCTCATCAATAGACCCGCTACAGCCAGACATTGGGGTGTCTTCAACACCATACAGCCTGTGATTCTGAAGGACAAGCTGACAAGTGGACAATCCTTTTAATTGGCTCTAAGCTTTTTGCTCTTAGTTTTACTTTTCCTACTTGTCTAATTTTGACCGCCTACTTTTTCAAGTTTTATGCCACATGTTCATTGATGTTGTTTGGTTTTTCTTCACCAACATCTTAGTTCAAGTTTTGAAACTTAAACTATTTTTGTATGCATTGCAATTCAAAATTAAGTCTGTAATTTATTTTTCTTTAATTTCTCAAAGTAATTTTTGAAACAGCTTAGATTGGCTTCTTTTTCTTAGTTATCTACATTGTTTCAAAGTTGCTTCTGAACGCCACACAACCAGAGTTTTGCTGTAAGACAGAAGGAGCATGCAAAGGATCCTAAAGGCGCTGGTTCTGCATTCAGGCCGGTGTGCTGTGACTCCTAGCCCACCTTTCATCTGACCTAGGTCTTCTGCTGAGCTCAACCACTCAAACCACTGGTAGCCTGGACCTTTGGTGAATCTGCTCCATCTTCTCCATAGTTCATCCTATAATTTTATACTTAAATTTCTGAATTGAACATTTGTTTTTCCTTATTTTCCCACGATTAAAGGTGGGTGGTGCCCCATCAACGAGTGCACAAATGTCACAATTTAAGATTATTATCAAATATTAATCTTATGACATTTATTACAAATTCAAATTGCTACACTTCCTATTTACCCTGTACACTGCAGACGACTTCCCCTCTCGGACAACTCCACCATTTTTGACTTTAACACCAATGACGATGAGAGGGTATAAACAACTGAACCAGAACTTTGTGGACTGGTGTCAATGGAACTTCCGCTGGAAAGTTTATCTTTAAACCAGCAGGGATGAACTTTTAAAAACACTTCTGAATGTTTAAATCAAAGATAAATGAAGAACTGTGAATTGTTGTAAAGTTTACAGTGTAACAGATGCAGGGGAAGAGTCCTTAATAAGAAATGTAAGTAATAATATGAATTTGAGTCGAAACTGCTTAATTGCACTGGTACTGTGAATTGTTTATGTTTTTAGGTCGCATAAAGTTGTGACCATGATTTCAAAAAAGAAACTGCGTCTCGTTCATGCAGAGTGAGACAAGTTTCACCGCACGACTGCAAACATTTAATGCGATCAGAAACATTACACTAAAGGTTTTTGCGTTTCAAAAGCACAAGTATGCATCACTTACTACCATGTTTACAGGAAATCTTCACTCTTTTAGCTCCACCTGTGTGTCATTTTCAACAGCGCCACTTTATATGTGTGCGTGTGTGTGTGTTATTAACAAAATGCATAGAGCCCTTCAGCCCTTGTTCAACCCAGAGAGGAGCGACTTCTATAGATACAAGACAACAAACACTCTCCCACTCCAAACAACATCTCCAAAGGTACACTGCTGCGGTTAATTAGAGCCTATTTATAGACTTGGTGCTGGTTGGGGAGGGGGGTGGGACTGTAATAGAGATGCTGCAGTACCGGCCGCGGCCTTTGGATGCCAGTGTGGTGTCAGGAACAACGCGCCTGGAAAAGGAGTAGAAGACAGAGGGAATGGGTGGTGAAAGCGATTGACGAGCTGGTTGAAGGCAAGGAGCAGCTGACGTTGAGGCAAAAAAGCGACTGGAATCTCTTCTTTTCTTCATGTCTGTGTTTTTTAGGTCCGCCTGCATCTCTTGGTTCCTCCCAAATTTGCAGTGCGTGTGTGTGAGAGAGTGTGTGTGTGTGTGTGTGTGTGTGTGTGTTGATTAGCTCTTTCTGGTACTCTCTGCCTGTTTTCCAGCATGGGATGGAGGTAGACTGTGGTGTGGCAGACTTGTAGGCTGCCTAATTAATGCTCCAGAGCCTGGAAGGTGTGTGTGTGAGAGAGAGAGAGAGAGGGTAGTGTGTGTATTTGCACTTCCAGTCGCATGTTCTCTGTGTGACTGTGTGTGCACGAGCATCCAAGGGTTGTACGTGTTAATGTGTGTGTCTGTGTGTGTTACCACCCCCCCCCTACACACACACACACACACACACACACACACACACACACACACACACACACCCTGAACCCCCCCGGGGCGTAAAGCAGGCTGCAGGGGCTGGTGCAGAAACAGAGCTGGGATCATGGAGGCAGCACTGCAGGCATCTGCCCCCAGGAAGCAGCACCAGCCCCGCGCAGCTGGCACTGAGGCCTTCATGAGCCAGGAAATGGCACACCTCCTGACTAAACCCCCACACCTCCCTCCCTCTCTCATTCTCACAAACACACGCACACACACACACACTCTTGTACACATGTCTCAAACATCTCTCTCCACACTGCTCATCAAACAAGCAAACATCGATTCCTGTTGAAAAAAAAAAGGAAACAACTATCGGCGAGCGGAAGGAAATGCACGGCCAGAGTGGCTCCTTTTGCTGTTTGTCAGTCACCAACATCAGATAGTTCCTGAGTGTTTAGAGAAACAGCTAATATGAATGAAGCATGTTATAAAAGAGGAACATTGAATTAATTCTGGCACATTAATCATGCACCTGAGTCAAGATTCAGGGAAACAAAAATGGGAATTGCTTAGGAATTGCGCTCTACATATTTACATTCAAAGATCTTTAGGGAATTCAAAGATGGACAATTTGACAATTACAACCTCCCCATCCCCCGTTTTCCCCACTTTGAAGGCCTTGGATTCCCTTAAGAATACAGCTTGCATGACATAAATGCATGTGTATCTATCTCTCTCCCTGGATTTCATGTAAATGTAGTTTGATTTATTGTTTGCATGTGTTCTATGTGGGTGTTTGTGCATGCATTTGCATGTGCAGATTCGTGGTTCACTCCGGGGTGTGTAGACTGCAGGGTTAGAATACATATTTGTGTGTTTTACAGGGCGACACGTCCATCATTCTGCGCTGCCGGTAGACAACCAGCTGACAGAGCGACAGGCCCTCACCTTGGATTACTCCCCTGCTGAGGAGGCTGCTCTGGGCCTGGCCGCCAGGGCAAACAGGGCGCTAACAGGCCCAGGCCTCAGCCTTCCTCTCTGCACCCACACACAGGCAGGACTGCGGGGTACAATTAGGCGGACAGGACGCCATACCACCGCTCACCTGTCAGCTAGACTGGCGACGTGCATGGGGTGCAAATTGACACGAGTGCCACAACCGGGCCGACAGGAGATCCGCGGCAGGGACAAATCTCCCTAACAAACCTCGGTGTCCTGTCAGTCAGAGCAGGGGCCACCTCACATTGACCCCCCGGACCAGGCGCTGGGCTCTGCCTGTTCGTCTGGCCACCCCAGGCCCTGTCATTGAGCTGAGATGACATGGTCACATGCAGCCACAGCCAGCACCACCATCAGCCTCTCAGTCATTACCTTCCATCAGCAGACCAGAAAATAGACTGGTAGAATCTGTAGGGGAAAATGACCTAAAGGCCTGACCTGAAAATGGCACAAAAAGCTGAGAGATGGTGCTACTCGCTTCCAAAATAATAGTCTGTGTCAGCGCACCTGGCCACTCGCCACTGGCCATATCAATACCTCCAAACAAGACAGAGAGAGGGGCACGCGCTCGGTAGGGCTCCTGTCTGAAATTGCCTCCACCCTCAGCTTCACAACTCAAAAGGAACACAGAAGATCCAAAGTAGTTTTGCTCGGCTGTACAAACAAAGTTGATCATTAGAAATAAAATAAAACTTCTTTGTGTGGTCAGAGGAGGAACACAAAGAGGAAAAAAAAAAAGAAAAAGGATTTCTGTCAAAAGTCGGGCAGGAGCAGGAACTCAGCTAATCCAGTTGTCTGACTGCGATCTGCCATTTGGAGTGTAGTAAGGGTAATGCACCGCTAAATTTACTGACGTTTGCACTAATCCATTTAATTCTCTTTTAAGGGGGAAAGTGTTCACATGAATGAGCGGCTTGTTTTAATGTTGATGATTTAAAGATGGACGGAGTTATGGAAGCGGACAGAGCCCATGCACGCAGCCGGGCAGCCAGCCTGGACGAGAGGACGGAGGATGCTGCGGGTTTGAGGGTAGCGGTAGAGATGGGTGGGGGGAAGTGAGATGTAGCTGATAGGGAGGTGTGTAGTGGGGCAATTCAGGTTGCCAGAAGGGCCATTTTTCCCATCTCTCTCTCATTCTTTCTGTTTCTGACTCAAAATAGAGTGTGGAGCCGAGGAGGAAGCTAGCACTCAATTAGGCTTCTCGTATCCTTTAACACAAGTAATGGTTCTCCATACTGGGGACTATATGGAAGCCAAATGCAGGGCTGTGTGCAGGGCCGGTCCCCCTGGCGAGGCAGGCTCATCCCAGCCCATTGTTCTCTATCAGTGGACAAGGCTGATTCCTGTAATTAGCTGTCAGCGCAGAGCCCTCAGCAGCTTAGTGCTGTCCGCTCAAATCAAACTAATGAAATGCAATCCGCTCAAATGTCCTGGATGCATATCTGTAACAGGCCTGCGCACACGAGAGGGGAGGCAGGGGGAGCCTACGCCACGGCAGGGAAACATCCCCCCTTTGCCAAACTTAGGATTCAAATCCACGCTCATTAATCCGTTAATTCAGCACATTTTTGACAGCCAATTAATGCGGATAAGGAGTGGGTGATCTGGGCAGGACAGGAGGTGCCTGAGCACGGTAAGAGGACCAGGCGTGAGGGGGTGAGGGCTAGCGGACCCCCAGCATCACTCAACCATTTCATTCCTCATCGTGATCCTGGCATCCAACAAGCCTCCCTGTAGCAAGAATTCCCTGTATAACAGTAGCACATATATTTAATATTCTCATAATCCATGCACAAGACAGTGCAGGATATTTTGGATATTTTTCTTACTCACTGACAGCACTCTGATAAAACCCGCTGCAAGGCTGCCAAGATCTCTCATGCTAAATCGGAGGATTTAACGTTTGCCTTGTCTTGTTGCAAAAACTTACAGTAAACATTGAGGTAATATCTTACCTGCTCTGTAAATTCTTACATCAGATAAACAGGTTGTTCACCTCTGTGACTGTTTTTCCTGTAGTGACAATGCAATGATTGCAGGAGTCTGCATAAGATAAAGCAAAGGTTGAACTTTGGGGTAACAGATTTATTTCTGCAAGTTATCAACAGAAAAAAAAAGAAAAGTATTAAAATGAAGTTTGAATAGAATAAACATTTATAAGTAAGTTAAACTAAACTAATTTCATTCATCTAATCCTAACAAATCTTATATGAATACATATTCATCATTCTTACTTTTATTGTGTTTTCAGTGCATATTGAATAAATTTTGGTTCAAAGACTGAGACGTAATCAAAACGGTTTTATTTCTAACAAACATTTGTATTTGTTTTATGAAGGTTTTAGGTTGCATTAAGTTGCACAGACCAGTAAATATCTTGAACTATTGCCCAAGGCAAATCTAATCTCAGGCAAGATAATGTACTTCATATCTACTTTTTAGTACTACTAAAAAACAGGTTTAACTATATTTGAAAAAAAAAAAAAAATGCTATTTTACATGCAATTTAAGTTTGCTACAGAAGACATGTAGAACAATAAAAACAAGTATCATCAGGACATAAGACCTCATGTTAGTTTTTATTTATTTTTTGAGTTTTGGAAAGAAGTTAAGCTATTTTTAGTGAACACTATATTGGGAAGAAAATACGTTCTTGTATGACTTTTTCAGTATAAAAATGTATGCTACTGATTAAATTATATGATAACATAATTATTCTGCCTGTGCAATAACATTTAGAGAAAAAAAAAGATCATCCTGTTAGGTTTGTTTAATCGGTTACAGTGTGGCATATCATGATGGTAATACAGTGTAATTTGACACCTAGCAAAATGTAAAATAAGTGATATGACAATTGCCCATATAAAGTCACTAGAACTATCTTAATTATTCCCAAATAGTTGCTGGATTTATTTTATTACTATTTTTTAATCACAAATATGAAAATACATTATTGTACATTTGTAAATAGTTGGGCAGTAGTCCATATTATCAATGTAAAGCAACTGATTTAGGGAATGAATAAATGCCATAAAATGTCTGTAATGATGTCGACTTTTAGATCTATTATCCAAATAAATGTTGTACAGCTACACCAGTGGTGTCTGAAACACTGACTAAGATAGTAAATGACAGCTTTCAAGTTTTGCTCTGTCAAATGAAGAGTTTACTTTGTTTATTTTGAAAGAGAACTTAGTTAGAAGTTAATTGTGCATGTACAACAGTTAAGTTGCTTGTACAAAAGCTGTGGTCTGTCGTCATCCACATGTCCCAAAATAGTTCAGTGTTGCCAACTTAGGAACTTTGTAGCTATATTGAGTGACTTTTCAGACCCCCTAGCATAGGTAACCTAGATGTCCCTTTTTTTCGGGGACAATCCCCATTTTGAATGACCTACCACCATCTAAATCTGTCCTCAGAAATGTTCCCGATTTAGCGTTTCATTAATGAGAAAAAAAGATGTTATGTGTCGTGTAGACAAGAACAATGGTTATTACAGTAGCTGGGTAGGTAGGAAGCGCAAGTAAGCATGAAGTGCTAAAAACAGTAATTAGAGGGGGTGCGCTACCGACAAGTAGCCACCGCTTCTCTGAATTGATTGATGATGTGCCCTGATTTCATTTACAGCAACTAGCAACAAATCTAGTGACTTTTTTTGGAGTTTGGAGACCAACATAAATGACCCCTCACAGGGGAAAGAGTCCACCTCGCTCGTGCAGCAGTCCCTCCCAAGCTGGGAGCTGCAGCGAGAGCAGAACAGCAAATGAATTGCGCTTGTGTGAACCCGCTGATATCAAATCCTTGGGAGGGGTACCAGCGACTTTCCTGACTGAGGAGTTGGCAACACTGAAATAGCATTCTGCCATCTTTGTGAAGTGGCTTCCAGGTGACATCAGCCTGAGTGCACCTGTAGGCTTGGCTTGTAGGTGGTAGCAGAAACTTGACACAAAGTGCGAATCGCATTGACTTGTCAGCTGAGCTGTCAGAGTTTCTCAAAATGAAATGTGCTATTCAAAAGCACAGTGGTGTTGTTGATTTTCATCATAGCGGTAGCCAGAAGCTAGATGCTGCGGTGGCTAAACTATAGCATGTCAAAAAGGACACAAATGCACTTAAATTGGAATAATGTTCTGATATCAAACTTGAATTCCATTGCATTGACTCCACGAATACTGTCAGCCTTAACTTAAAACAATCATTCACCTTTTAATATTATATTGAGATAATTTATTTCCCACTGTACAAGCTACGCAACTTTGAGCTCAGCAAATGCACTGTAATGTCCTCACTAATGAGATTACGGTACAAGCTCAGGCATGTCAAAAACAAGGCAAAGCTATTGTTAAGAGGTTCAATTGGGCAGTACATTTACAGACACGAGATAACCCAGCTGGCCCATCACCATTAACGCCTGAAAGGGAAAATTATAGATGATCATGGCCATCTATTGAACTCCCACATTCTGCTTTTGCGTTAATGACAGGGTGGGTTACACACTTTAAAGTCAACCTGCTATCTCATATTGCACTTTCTATTGTTACCTGACTCATGTTTATGAATGAGAGATTATTCAGCAGGTTTCCGGTTGTTTTATTACTCTGAACTATTGTTGTTACAGAGTCACTTTGTATTTACACGTCTCTCACTCTCATTGTTTCATCTCATTTATGTTGCATGTTAATGTGTTCAAATTATGCTGTCACTCACTTCATTCATCTCCTCCCCCATCTCTCCTCTCCTTCCTTCTTTTCCTTCCTCTTCTGTGCTGTGCAGGCCTGAGACTGTATGTGTCTATGCGGTGTGTATGTGTGTGTGCACTGTGTGTGTGTGCAGTGTAGTGTAGTGTGGATGGAAGCCTGGGGGCATTAAAAGCAGCCAGGGTTTTGCCATAGTGTTGGTGGGCCCGTGGTCTCCGCTGAGCCGTGATCAGATGGGTCTGGGCCGCTCAGGGACTCGGCCTCAGGCGCTCGACAACACCGCCAGCCCCGCCATGTGTGAACACTTGTTCTCTTCAATTAAAACAGTCATCTGAATATTCCAATCACATTGCTTAATGACAGCTCTCTGCCACGCATGCATGAAAATTGAAGTGGGGGTCAATGGGGCCCGAAAAGAAGTCTGGATGGGTGCACAGGCTGACCCTCAAAAT